AAAAAAAAAAAAGAAAAGAAAAGAATAAGATTTTTAATAGTCAAGCCAAATGAAAGTTGTGCCAATCTAGAATTAAGTCACATCAATACTTACCCCAGCAAGGCTCCAATTATACCACCAGCCACCACACCGCGCAGGCCTAAGTTTATTCTGAACAGACTTCCTGTGACACCTGTCAAAAAAAGACACTATTAAATCATATTTAATACTACACTTCCATCTTAAAATCGTCCTTCTATAAGAAGGACACAAACCTCTGAGCTTTCTGAACCCAACAGTAAAATACCACTACAGCCTTGATTTCCTGAATCTAAAATGCCAATTAGGCTCAGCACCCGTAGCTCAGTGGTTGGGACACTGGCCACATACACTGGGGCTGGCAGGTTGGAACTGACCCGGGCCTGCTAAGCAACAATGACAACTGCAACAACAACAACAACAACAACAACAACAACAACAAGAAAATAGCCAGGCATTGTGGCAGGCACCTGTAGTTCCAGCTCGTGGGAGGCTGAGACAAGAGAATTGCTTAAGCCCAAGAATTGAGGTTGATATGAGCCATGATGCCATAGCACTCTACCGAGGGCGACCTACCTAGACTCTGTCTCCAAAATAATAAATAAATACATAAATAAATAAATAAAAATAAAAATAAAATAAAATGCCAATACAGGTAGCTACCCATCTGTACTTTCAAAGGATGAAACATTCCTTTTACAAAAACAACCCCCTGATCTGTGTTATGGATGCATTTTCTTTTCTTTCTGCTTCAATTTTGCCCATCTCCCCTTAAAAATCTCATTCTTTCTTCAAGGAAAGCTTTAAAAAAAAAAAAAAAAAGCCCAGAAAAACCTTGTCGGGCCCCTGCAGCTCATGCTTCCCCAGCTCACCCTTTCTGTACTGCAATACTGCACCTCTCAGGCAGGGAGCAGGCACCATTTGGCCTACAGTGCCACCTGGTGGCCAATACTCGAAGGGCCCTCTTTTCTTTCTACTGGGGATTGAACATAAAATCAGGCTTTTTCCCCTTTTCACTATTCATAATGCAACAAATGCCATCTGAGGTGGTAATACTTTTTAAATAATAACATTTGAGGTTTATAATTTTTGCTTAAGTACCATATGTTCATTTTGAAAATTTTCTAAATTAAAAAGAATAAAAATCACCTTTAATCCATTACCTAGAGTCAGTAATGAGTTAGTGTTTTTTTTTTAAAGACAAACTTTCTTTCTTTCTTTCTTTTTTTTTTTTTTGGAGACAGAGTCTCCCTTTGTCACTCTCAGTAGAGTGCTGTGGCGTCATAGCTCACAGCAACCTCAAACTCGGGTTTAAGTGATTTTCTTGCTTCAGCCTCCCAAGTAGCTGGGACTACAGGCGCCCACCACAACACCCAGCTATTTTTAAAGATGAGGTCTCACTCTGGCTCAGGCTGGACCTGTGAGCTCAGGCAATCCACCTGCTTTGGCCTCCCTGAGTGCTAGGATTATAGGCAAGAGCCACTGCACCCAGCTGAGTTAGTTTTTTTTTTTTTTTCTGGTCTTTTAAACAAATTATTTTAAAAAAGAAATTGGGGCCATTCTGTACATACTAAATATTTTATTTTCACTGAATGTAATATTGAATTCCATTATCAGTAAAGTTTCTTCTCACATGACTCCAACTTTAGAGGTACCTTTTGGGACACCCTATAGTTTAGATATTTGTGTGTGCTTGGTTGTGTTCTGTCCTTTGAATTCTATTCCACAGATCTCACTGTTCTATTTACTGCAATTTTATACACTTTTTAATTTCTTTTTTTTCTTTTCTTTTTTTTTTTTTTTGAGACAGAGCCTCAAGCTGTCTCCCTGGGTAGAGTTCCGTGGCATTACAGCTCACAGCAACCTCCAACTCCTGGGCTCCAGCGAGTCTCCTGCCTCCGCCTCCCAAGTAGCTGGGACCACAGGCGCCTGCCACA